TGCAATAGAGAATGGAAAAAGTACAGAAGGCAGAGAACACACGAAAATAGGGAGATCAGTCGCAGAGCCAGGAATGACTACGCACAGGTAAGGAGGGAGGCCCAGCGACAGTATGAAAATGACATAGCATCGAGAATCAAGACTGACCCAAAAACTGTTTTATAGCCACATCAGGAGGAAGACAACAGTCAAAGACCAGGTGATCAGATTAAGGACAGAAGGGGAGAACTCACAAGAAATGATCAGGAGGTATGTGAGGAGCTGAACAGGAGATTTAAGGAAGTTTTTACAGTAGAGACAGGAAGGGCTGTGGGAAGACAGCACAGAAGGGAACATCAAGAGGGAATATACCAACAAGTGTTGGATGACATACGAACAACTGAGGAGGAGGTGAAGAAGCTCTTAAGTGACCTTGACACCTCAAAGGCGATGGGACCGGACAACATCTCCCCATGGGTCCTTAGAGAAGGAGCAGAGATGCTGTGTGTGCCTCTAACCACAATCTTCAACACATCCCTTGAAACTGGGCAACTACCTAAGAAATGGAAGACAGCTAATGTAGTCCCCATATTTAAGAAAGGAAACAGAAACGAGGCCCTAAACTACAGACCTCTGTCTCTGACATGTATTGTGTGCAAAGTCATGGAGAAGATTATCAGGAGGAGAGTGGTCGAACACCTGGAAAGGAACAAGATTATAAATGAAAACCAGCATGGGTTCATGGAAGGCAAATCTTGTATCACAAACCTCCTGGGAGTTTTATGACAAGGTAACAGAAGTAAGACACGAGAGAGAGGGTTGGGTAGATTGCGTTTTCCTAGACTGCAGGAAGGCATTTGACACAGTTCCCCACAAGAGATTAGTGCAGAAGCTGGAGGATCAGGCACACGTAAAAGGAAGGGCACTGCAATGGATAAGGGAATACCTGACAGGGAGGCAGCAACGAGTCATGGTACGTGAAGAGGTATCACAGTGGGCGCCTGTTACGAGCGGGGTCCCACAGGGGTCAGTTCTAGGGACCAGTGCTATTTTTGATATATGTGAACGACATGATGGAAGGAATAGACTCTGAAGTGTCCCTGTTCGCAGATGACGTGAAGTTGATGAGAAGAATTAAATCGGACGAGGATGAGGCAGGACTGCAAAGAGACCTGGAGAGGCTGGACATGTGGTCTAGTAACTGGCTTCTCGAATTCAATCCAGCCAAATGCAAAGTCATGAAGATTGGGGAGGGGCAAAGAAGACCGCAGACAGAGTATAGGCTAGGTGGACAAAGACTACAGACCTCACTCAGGGAGAAAGACCTTGGGGTGACCATAACACCGAGCACACCACCGGAGGCACACATCAACCAAATAACCGCTGCAGCATACGGGCGCCTGGCAAACCTGAGAATAGCGTTCCGATACCTTAATAAGGAATCGTTCAAGACACTGTACACTGTGTATGTTAGGCCCATACTGGAGTATGCAGCACCAGTCTGGAACCCACACCTGGTCATGCACGTCAAGAAGTTAGAGAAAGTACAAAGGTTTGCAACAAGGCTAGTCCCAGAGCTCAAGGGAATGTCGTACGAGGAAAGGTTAAGGGAAATCGGACTGACGACACTGGAGGACAGAAGGGTCAGGGGAGACATGATAACGACATACAAGATACTGTGGGGAATAGACAAGGTGGACAGAGATAGGATGTTCCAGAGAGGGGACACAGGGACAAGGGGTCACAACTGGAAGCTGAAGACTCAGACGAGTCACAGGGACGTTAGGAAGTATTTCTTCAGTCATAGAGTTGTCAGCAAGTGGAATAACCTAGCAAGTGAAGTAGTGGAGGCAGGAACCATACATAGTTTTAAGAAGAGGTATGACAAAGCTCAGGAAGCAGAGAGAGAGAGGATCCAGTAGCGATCAGTGAAGAGGCGGGGCCAGGAGCTGAGTCTCGACCACTGCAACCACAATTAGGTGAGTACAATTAGGTGAGTACACACACACACATGATAACGACGTACAATATACTGAGAGGAATTGACAAGGTGGACAAAGACAGGATGTTCCAGAGATTGGACACAGTAACAAGTTGACACAGTTGGAAGTTGAAGACACAGATGAATCACAGGGATGTTAAGAAGAATTTCTTCTGCCACAGAGTAGTCAGGAAGTGGAATAGTTTGGGAAGCGAAGTAGTGGAGGCAGGATCCATACATAGCTTTAAGCAGAGGTATGATAAAGCTCACGGTACAGGGAGAGTGACCTAGTAGCGACCAGTGAAGAGGCGGGGCCAGGAGCTTGGACTCGACTCCTGCAACCTCAACTAGGTGAGTACACACAATGTGGACAAAGACAGGACGTTTCAGAAATGGGAGCTGAAGACTCACATGAGTCAAAGGGGTGTTAGGAAGTATTTCTTCAACCATAGAGATGTCAGGACGTGGAGTAGTCTGGAAAATGACGTAGTGGAGGCAGGATCCAGACATAGTTTTAAGATGGGGTACGATAAAGCTCATGGAGCAGGGGAAGTGAGGGCCTAGTAGCGATCAGTGAAGAGGCGGGGCCAGGAGCTATGGACCCCTGCAGCCATAATTACGTGAATACACACACAGTTTCTTATTTTATTTTTTTAACGGAGATTTTTCATGTTTTTATATAGGCTTCAATGAGAGGTATTGTGACGCGAGCTGGTGATGGAGGCTGGGGAGCGGGGGCGGGGGCGGGGGGAGGAGAAAAGATCTGAAGGGGATTATCTGCAGCACGTGGTCATATGGCTTCGCAGGAGGGAAGTCCAATCTGTGACATTATCAGGGAGGGAAGGAGGGAGTGAGGGAGGGAAGAGCGGAGGAAGAGAAAGGAAGAAAGGCAGATGAGGGAAAAACAGAGGAAATGAAAAAGGGAAGAAGACAGGAACAAAGGTGAGAGGGAATGAAGAAAAGGAAGAAAAGGCAGTTAAAAGAATAATATTTTGAATGAAGAAAGGAAGAAGATAGGAACGAAGGTGAAAGGGGTTGAAGGAGCGTTAAAGAGAACGTTGGAGAGTGAAAAGGGGAATGACAGAAAGTGAAGGAAAAAATGAATTTAAGTGTATGGGAATGATAAAAATGGGACAGTGAGTTCGTGCGGGTAAGTGAGAACAAGGATCACATAAATTTAAATAAAAAAAAAATGCAGAGAAAGATGGAGGAGATAGCAGGAGGGAGAGGGAAGGAGGGAGGAGGGAGGGAAGGAGGGAGGGTGGGAGGGAGGGAGGGAAGGAGGGAGGGAGGGAGGGAGGGAGGGAGGGAGGGAAGGAGGGTTAGGCACCTGAGGTCTTAACCCCCACTGACCCAAGTACCTGGCTGTTACTGGTGTTGTTAGTGTTCTTGTCCTCCTCTACGAGGGTCGCAGACTTGGCCGGCGGCATGTTCACCTCCCTGCCCAAGGTGGTCTCCGCCAGCATTCTGGTCTGTGCGACGTTCTCTATGACGCTTCCTGCCTTGATCTCCGTCACTTTGGGTTTCTTCTTCCTTGCTCTCTCCTTTAGCGCCTGGTAAGGTAAAATAAATATTAGATAAAGAAAGGGGAGGGAATAAGCTTCAGTCTGAAAATCTTCAAATTTGATTTTGTAGCCAGTGCAAAAAAAAAAAAAAAATTGTACTGTGGTTATGTGTGTGTGTGTGTGTGTGTGTGTGTGTGTGTGTGTGTGTGTGTGTGTGTGTGTGTGTGTGTGTGTGTGTGTGTGTGTGTGTGTGTGTGCGTGTGTGTATGTTGTGTGTGTGTGTGTGTGTGTGTGTGTGTATGTGTGTGTGTGTGTGTGTGTGTGTGTGTGTGTGTGTGTGTGTGTGACAAGAAGGAAGTGGAGAAAAACGCTAATAAAACAGCGCAAATTATGGATGTAATTATTATTAAATCACTGCATCTTTGAGCCCTTTGACTTCCTCTTAAGTTGTAAAGTGACACGAAAAAGAGTTCATTAGGGAGCTGGAGACAGAAGGATATAATAACAGTCCTAGAAGGACCGAAACTTCGCCTATTTTGTTTTGTTTAAATTCTTCGTTATTTGTTAATTGGACCAGCTACGGTTCTGTGTCTTCTTTAAAGTTTGACAAATGCACCAGAGCGTTTGCAAAAATGACATCATTTGCGGAACGACACCCCAGTGTCTTGCTTTCACACCTCCATCGTTGACGGTGCTACAGCCATCCGCAGTTTGGAACCATTACGTGTCTCTGGTGATGACGCTGTGAAAGCAGGTGTGAAGGAACGTATGATCCAGTGAAAGATACAGCACTGATCTCAATCTGCTCAGGTGGCGCAAAATAAGGTAACGACTGAGAGATAGAACTCCCCGAACGGTGTCAGAATCTACTGAGCACACATTGGTCTCTGATCAACATGTGACGTGTCATCTGTTCACAGTTGGGTGTCCTCGGGTGTCAGTCTCTTCAGTGATTATGTTCATGCTGCTCGGATCTGAGCGTCAGTATTACCCTCTACGTCTAGGACTTCTAGAGGAACTCTTGGGCCTTCCGGACTCTTTAATTCCTGTCTCGTATCTGGAACTCTGGGCCATTAACTCACAGAGTTGTCCTAGGGCGTACGAAGCACGTGTCAAAAGAATGGCGACATCTCAAAATTCTGTTTGTTGTAGGTTCAGACAGTGGTGATACTAGGCAGATTGGGAGGTGCGGGTCCCGTATGGAGACAATTATCGCAAGCCTGACATCATAGCATGGAATGGTAAAGAGGTCTTTTATACTGGACACGTCAAAGCAGACTTTCTCGTTCTCTTACGCACATGCGCAGAAGTACGAGTTATATAACGAACCAGACATAACAACTTGGCTCCGGAATTTAGCTGGCACGTCTTCCATCATCACCTCCTCAGTGGCCCTGAAATGGAGGGAAACTTGGGCCAAAGAGACAATATATATTCGTAAAGGTCCTGACCTGGACCCACTCTCTTTCGCATGAGGACCACGAGCAATGGGAGACGTTGATAAATTAGACACATGTGCAACTCTTGGGTATCTTTATTGAGGAAACGTTTCGCCACACAGTGGCTTCATCAGTCCATACAAAGGAGAATCTTGAAGAAACAGGAGGAGAATGAGGTAATCAGTCCCTCAACCTTGAGTCGATGTGGTCAGTCCATCAATCTTGAATAGAATACAGCATATGTGCTGAGAAGTAGCTTATATACCGTAGGCAGGAGAGGTGCGGCATTCGTAGGTGGTGTCACGTTTCGCCACTGTGTGGCGAAACGTTTCCTCAATAAAGATACCCAAGAGTTGCACATGTGTCTAATTTATCAACGTGTCGGTTCTCTGAACCATTCATCTACAATCCTGTTAGACACTGCAACTTCTTGGGATCTTAATACTTGGGAATTCTTCGCTTGCCTAACCCTTGGACATGACCTACTTCCACATTGGACAAATGTGACACTTCCTACGACTGCTGCACCTCTCCTGCCTACGTTATATTAGCTACTTCTCAGCACATATGCTGTATTCTATTCAAGATTGATGGACTAACCACATCGACTCAAGGTTGAGAGATTGATTACCTCATTCTCCTCCTGTTTCTTCACGATTCTCCTTTGTTTGACTGTTGAAGCCACTGTGTAGCGAAACGTTTCCTCAATAAAGATTCCCAATGGGAGACGTATATAATCATATCTGATGTATGTCTCGAGAAGTGCTAACGTGTGAGGGCAGGAGAGTGATAAGGCTTAGGCTATTAAGACTACCTTGCGAGGTACCACTCTCCCAGAGAACTGTCCTTGACACTGCCCTTCGTGTTTCGGGGCGGCTGCTGGACACAGACCACAATTTTCGGCCCTATATTTTTCTATTTCATAAATGTACACCTAGCTCTGTCACCTATTCTCGTTTTTCCTCATCACTGTTTCTTTTTCTTATCACCATTAATAGTTGTGTTCTAGGGGGTAGGGAGCATAAAATCCCATGGGAATCCGTCCCAGTCCCATGATGGGTAGCAGCTGCCCACGGAATGAGAGTAAACTCCCTTCATCTGTGTACTACCAGCGACTTGCCTACCCATAGTGGCACAGGATGACAGAGTTCAAAGAAAAAGCTTTATATTTGCCATTGATCAGTAAATATTACCTATTTCTGACTATTTGATAATTGCTAATAACATCAACTAATACCATATTCAGAGACTTTGTTGAACCCCTTTGCAGTTTTTGAATTAAAAACCTTTTTAGCGTTTTACACATACGCCCCGCACAACGCACACACACACACACACACACAGCACACACACACACACACACACACACACACACACACACACACACACACACACACACACACACACACACACACAATAGATACAACTGATACCGAATGCAACAAACACCGAAACAAACACAACACGGAGTCACAGCAACAAGACACAATAGACACCCACCCAAAGCTGAGACACTAGAAACACAACAAACATTGAGACACAACAAAGCCTGAAACGTAAACACTGAGACACAACAAACACACATGAAGATAACATCAATACAACTCTGACGCAACAAACACCGAGACAACACTAACACACACACATCAAACACTGAGACTCAACATACAACGATACATAGTCACTAAAACAAAAGGTCTAAAAACACACACACAGGTAACACCAAGACACATCAAACACCGAATCAAAAAAACACATACATACAAAAGATACTATGACACAAGAAGCGCCGAAACATAACACACACACACAAACATTCAGATACACACACAAACACCTAGATACGCACCCACACCCACACACACGCCAAGACACAATAAACTCCCAGACACAACAAATTACGAGACACAAACAGTACGACATAACACACAGCTAAACACAACAAACAGCAAGGCTCAACAAACACCTAGACACAACAAACAGCGAGACTGCCACAAGTCAGCAAACAGCACAGTTTGCCCAGTTCCTCCCAGGCCTTTGATAACTCGGTAATGAGCCGCCTTCCACAGGCTTGGACCTGACAGTTAATTTAGAGCGGATAAGGCTGTGATGTCAGCAACACGATGACAGTCCTGTCAACCGGGTTGTGGTGTATTTAACCGGCGCCTCGTACTGCTAGACGAGAGTACAAAATACTGACATCAAGAGACGACCACAACGCAGCGACAATTGTTTTGTATTTTCATGGAAAGATAATCTCGTGATGAGTCATTCAGTGCAAGTAGTGGAGGCTCGCTCCACCGTCCGCTACTTTCCACACGAAGAGTAAGCGTTGTTTTGATGTTACAAGTATGTGTGTGTGTGTGTGTGTGTGTGTGCGCGCGTGTGTGTGTGTGTGTGTGTGTGTGTGTGTTTTGTGTGTGTGCGCGCACGCAAATGAAGTAGCAAACGGACAGCAAAGAGTGACAATGAAGCTTAAGGCCTTTCGGTTCCGGAACGAAATCTTCGTCAGGAGTTAGGAAATCAGGTAATTTGGTTGAAATGAACGCCATTTGCATTTTTCAAACAGCGAGATATCTTGACCTCGCTGATACAATTTTTAGGAACTATGATATAAAAGAATTAACATATATATTGCAATTACTCAGACGTGTTTGTCAAGAATTACCTATCAAATATTTTATTTAGCTTCTCAAAGTTGGGGCACATACCCAGTTCACGACAGTCACTAGTACAGGCAGTAGCTATGAAATATTTTAATTTCCCCTGATGGTTATTTTGCCTAAGTCTTTTAAAAACTTGGATACTCTATTTACCTGCTAGCCGTTTGTCTCTGAACCCATGGTAATGAAGAGGTAATGATGACCAAATTTACTGTATTTTCTATGGGGACTACCTGAAGCTGGCATTTCCACCTCTATCCTTCCTGCTGTAGTGGAAACAGGTGTCAGCAGTGTGGGTGAGTGTATGGTGTCCCACACTACGCACTTCCTATCTGTCCAGGATTGCAATCTGGGATGGTTTTGACTGCCATCGGATCTGCATAGTTGGGGTGGCTCCATTTTTGCCAGGCAACCGGTTGCTGCAAGGCTTTTCTTGATGTGTTTAACCTTTTCATAGCTTGTGATCTTTCCTTCCGCTCTACAACAAACAAGACCGGAGAATTGTACCGTAGTTGTTCTGCAAATGCGTAGTTGCATTTAAACCTGTATTAGGGGAGGATAGGAACGGCAAGGCTAATGGCATCGTACAACATGAATTCTTTAATGGTTTTACCTGGAGTTTACCTGGAGAGAGTTCCGGGGGTCAACGCCCCCGCGGCCCGGTCTGTGACTGGGCCGTCTAGAATTAACGACGGCCAACATAAAATCCACTTCATGAGGAGCTTTCACTTTCAGAAGGCTAACACGCTCTTAATCAGTGATGTTGCATTCTCTTCTACTGGGTTATCCCGGAGAATCTGACTGCATTTCGTAGAGGGAAACTAGTCTTGTTAGGAAGCATGTTAACGTATGACCGTGTCTTGTTTCATACATTAAATTTGGATAGTGAACTACAACACTGTGACCGAGGCGTTCAGGAAGAATCAGTGATGCAGACAAATTACTAGATGTCATACACGTAAATAAGAATGTATGGGAGTGCTATTTGTAATTACCTGCAGTCATTTTTAGTCTGACTTAAAGCAAAACTTTGTCCCGCTGCCTATCATTTAGAGGAGGAGTGAGTGTTTTTGCGAATAACGACTTCAGGAGACTGTCGTAGTTATATAGTTATGGTAATTATGACATGACGGCGCGCATTATAGGACAAACGCTAGTCTAGACATATGTTGAAGCAACATGTTGCTGTTGGCGTCTAATTTACCCTTTTCTCTTCAAATAATGTAGTTAGTCCTCGAGAAATAGGTAATTGGCATTAGTTTCCCGAGGAGTTCAAATCCTCAAGCTATCAGCAGTGGCAATGATTAATGAGCAAAATGATGCGGATCTCCAACTGAAAGGCAAGACAAAAACTAGGAAGTGTGTTTGAACGGCTTTTATCAGCGCGTCTCTTTTAAAGTAAACAAAATGTGTTCTTGAAGTTTTATTTTAATGTTGCATTACTGATATATGCCCATGACGTATGAACTGCTGGATCGTTTCCCTGAGGGACGCCTGAAGCCAAGCTGGTGAGTTTAAAATAGCATGGTCTCCTCTGTGCGAATATTTCTGATAGCCGCTTCAGCAGCAAGGCAGCGGAGTGTTGCCACAGTAATGGGCTTATTTTTCTCCATCTTTCGCTCACAGGGCACAAAGAAGAACAGTTTAATTTCATCGGGAATCAGACCAGCCATGGAGATGTTAACGAAGCTAGTGATCTCTGATACGATGATCTCTGCAGTCTCCCAGAAAACTGGATGAACCATTTCTTGTAAATGCCGAAACTCCATTCAAGTGCAGCTCCCAGCAGAACCAGACGGGAAATACATAACTGTCTTGTAAACATCTGAATCCTGTAAAAACAGTATTTCTGCACTGGGGGGCAGTAGTGTTGGAAATGTTGGCACTTCTGCTTTACCTGCTAAGGTGTTTATCAGTCCAAAAATATATCGAATATACTATTGGATATTTCGAAAACTTAACACAAGTGTGAGACAAAATAGAAAAACTATGTCAGATAGATAGTGAGGGATGAAATTCTCGCTTCATCAATAAGGATGGTGTCTTTGTTCCAATATTGCCGAAACTGATTGACTGATAGTTTGCTGGGGCTAGTTTGTAGGGGATAGCGTTTCCCGGCAATTATTTTGTTGGATATATTTTGTGGGAATTCTTAATATGTTGTTTTTTTGCAGGATATATTTAGTAGTATTTTGCGAGGAACATTTGATGGGAGTTTTTTTTTTTTTTAGTCTGTTCGATGGGAAATGTTTAACTTGGAAAAGGTTGACAGTAATGTTTTCAGGTGATAATTGGCTAAAAGCGATTTGTTAGGAAAACCTAACCTTATGCTGGATTAAATCATAGTTCCTAGTTATATTCACCGTGTTACTCCGAAAAAGGAAACATCTCCATTGTCCTATATTAGAAGCAGCAAAACCTTGCTTTATAAGTCAAAGCATACTGGGAATAAAAACCTGGATGTAAGAATAACTTACTGGGAATAAAAACCTGGTACGAGCAAAAGGTTGTTAATAACACAAACTTAGTGAGGACAAAGGCATCCCTAGGAACGAAATCTTGCTGTGAAAAAAACGATGACTAAAGAAATGCCTGTGATGAAAAAATAGTATTCTGTAAAGAAATACTTGCTAGAAATTAGATCCCACAAGGAAAAAAATAAAAATATTTATAACAAAAAGTTTGCTAAGAACAAGAATGTTGCTCATGCCAAGACTAAAAATTATAATTGGAATACAATATTTCAGCGAGAGCAAAATTCTTACAGGCAAAAAAATCCTATTATGGTTAGACAAAGAATATGACATCATATATCACAAGCAACAACAGAATTCCACAAGCTGAACATCCTATATTAGAGAAATAAGGTAATATACAGCGTCAACATTGAAGCTCCTCACCTTGAATATCCTGCAGTACAAGTAGATCATGGCGATGCAGGGGATGTAGAAGGAGGATATGGACGAGTAAAGTATAAAGTCAGCGTTGAGGAAGGCGCACTCGTTGCTGAGAACGTCTTTCTTCTTCGAGACATCCCACTGGTTGACGAAGACGAGTGGGATGCCGATGGCCGCTGACACCGTCCAGATGATGGCGATGGTGAGGACGATGCGCTTGTTGTTCTTGGAGTGGGCGTACTTGAGGGGCTGGGTCACCGCGATGTATCTGCACGGGGCGAGAAGAAAATGGAGATGATGGAGAGGTGGTGGTGGTGGTGTGGTGGTGGTTGACTGGTGTGTTGGTAGTTGACTGGTGTGGTGGTAATGGGGGTTGGCTAGGGTGTTGGGTGGTAGGACGGTTAGGGAAGGGTGGCGATGAGGGCTATTTTTCCAATAGGGTTAATGGAGACAGTGTCATAACAGAAGAAAAAAAGGAGGAGGTGAAGAAGTTGAATCTGAAAAACAAACTGTGATGATGAGTGCTGAAGAAACAGTTGAGATGCCTGTATTATTCTGAATAGCTAGTGACTCTGATGGATGTAATTATTAGAGCATTTCCTGTAAAGGTAATTAATAAAATACAAATAGCCAGAAAAACTTCAAGATAAACAGATGAAGTGTTACATGAAGAGGTTAAAACTTGGTATTCTGGACCAAGGGTGAAATAAACGCTGAGAGGAACTAAATAGCTGTCATTTATTCTGTGGGGAGAAGTAATGTTTATGTGTTAGGGCGTACAAAATAAACTGATTCCGTGCTTCTTTTACGTAGGGAATGCAAAGGGGAAACTAGGCTCTGTTGAAAGAGAGGAATTCAAGTGACTACGAGAGGGAGTGAATTTCCTATGTGGAAAACAGAAATAATATTTCCCTGGCTGTGGAGGTAGCTGGGACGCTCTGGTTTGTCAACACAAAATAATGACAAAACACAGGATACGAAGGGAGAGAAACTAATGAACTGAAATAAAAAGGTAGATACCGATGGTTGACCGAGATGAAAGTGGATGGAAGATTGTAACGATGGGTTATAGTTGGAGAAGGGAAGAAAAGAAGGAGTAATGAGGAAGATTTATGGGTGATGAGTAAGCTTTAGGGGTAATAAAGAAAATGTTGGCTTCAGGAGGAGGATTTAGGAATAGGATGAGGCTGGAAATGTGTTGAGGGATGTAAGTGGTGGGGAGGGGGAGACAGTGAGAGGTGAGTGAGGTGAGGTGCAGTGTGAGGAAGGTGAGGTGCAATGAAAGGGGGAGATGCAGTATGGGGGAGGTGCAGTGTGGGGAGGATGACATATAGTATGGTGAGGTGAGGTGCAGTGTGGGGAGGGTACAATGCAGACATTGGAGGTGTGAAGAAGAATTCTCGATGTTGTGAAGGTACTGGAGAATATTGAGATGACCGTAGGTTTCTGAGACAACGAGAAGGTAATGTTTCTCCTCCGGTGGGGAAAACGAGAAGTAGAAGAGGTTGGGATAGACGTGGCGAGGAGAGGTGAAGGATGCTTAGGATATGGTGAGGAGATATGAAGGATGCACAGGTGACTATCAAGAGAGGCGAAGGTTGCTCAGGTGACCGTAAAGAGAGAGAGAGAGAGAGAGAGAGAGAGAGAGAGAGAGAGAGAGAGAGAGAGAGAGAGAGAGAGAGAGAGAGAGAGAGAGAGAGAGAGAGAGGCTGAGGAGAGGTTAAGGACTTCTTGTCAATAGCATAAAAGGAGAGCATCTATGTATAATGATTAGTTTCTTATGGTAGGTGAAGTAGCTCATGGTAGTTGTAGAGTCAGGATCAGGGTGCTTGGTGCAGATGATGTCAGTTACAAAGGAATGAGGACTCCCTCACTCATTTTTTTTCTGCCTGCAACAAACCAGTATAACAGCAAGACCCTTACAGAGATACTCAGCCCTCTCCTCTTGACAGTCCCTGTCAAGCCTTCATTATACCAGCGTGAAACGCCCACCCCCTGACAGATCTGCCTCCAAATTTCCACAACAGGCGGAGCCACTCCTAAAGTCAGACAAACACAGTTACCAATTACGAATGAGAACTTCCGTCTCCGATCAAGTTAGTCGAGTTACAGGCGGGGCAAACAGGGTGCTGATTAGCGGTACCTTTAGCGTCATAGCTGTTTTTGATTTTGCATCATAGCTGCCTTTGATTTTGCGTCATAACTCTCTTTGATTTTGCGTCATATCTCATTTTGATTTTTTCGTCATAACTGTTCTTCGTATCACATAATAGCCAATGCTCTTGCACCATACCTGGTATCATCTGTTCTGACCAAACTGGGCAAGCCATAGTGATGAAGGTTACTGCAACTTAGCATAATTCGTAGTTAAGTCAGGGTTCACTCAGGTACTCCGAGCGCTGCCTCAGCTGAACTGAGGTCAGTCAAGCGAGGAATTAAAGTCAATATACCATGGCCAGAATAAACACACACACATAAAAACAACCCACACTTCGGAGAGGGTTAAGTAATGACGGACCGAAACGTTATGACCTTTCTATCTCTTGAGTGCGGGATATTATGACTTATTATTCCGAATGTCAAGAATAACTCGCAACCCACATAGCGGTGATAAATATTTAGACGGGCATTTACTTAGCTGGCGCTGTGATTGAACCACTGAAAGTAGCCCTAACTAAACCACTGAAACTAGCTCTGAATGAACCACTGAAAGTAGCTCTGATTAGACTCCTTGAATGAACCACTGATAACAGCTCTGATTGGAGCACTGATTAGAGCACAAACTAGAACACCTACTTTCCAGTACTACCGAGAAAGGCACAACTTCCTGAAAATTGGTTAAATTTGCTAGAATTTTCAGGTTACCGATGCCTCCCCGTACTTACAATTACTTAGATTCGCCCTAATGGGCATAAAATTCTTCAAACTTACTTAAACTACTTGAATCGAATTTATGCAAATTGTTATAGACTCTCTTGAACTTAAAGGACTAAATTAAAGGTAATCAAGCAAGTTAAGATCGTGATGATCATCGGTGTAACAATTCTGTAGAACTTAACTTAAACTGAAGAGTCTAAATATTGCGCAAGCCGACGCTCGCACACACATACACACACACACACACACACACACACACACACACACACACACACACACATACACACACACACACACACACACACACACACCACACACACACACACACACACACACACACACACACACACACACACACAGGTGGGGAACTCATCAGAAGCGATCAAGAGGTTTGTGATAAGCTCAACAAGAGATTTAAGGAAGTATTTACAGTGGAGACAGGAAGGTCTCTGGGTGAACAGAACAGAGGGGGACGCCAACAAGGAATATACCAACAAGTGTTGGATGACATACACACAACTGAGGAGGAGGTGAAGAAGCTACTAAGGGACCTTGATACCTTAAAGGCAATGGGATCAGACAACATCTCCCCGTGGGTCCTTAGAGAGGGAGCAGAAATACTGTGTGCACCACTAACCACAATCTTCAACACATCCCTTGAAACTGGGCAACTACCTGAGGTATGGAAGACGGCAAATGTAGAACCCATATTTGAAAAAGGAGACAGAAAAGAGGCACTGAACTATAGACCAGTGTCACTGACGTGTATAGTATGCAAAGTCATGGAGAAGATTATCAGGAGGAGAGTGGTGGAGCACCTGGAACGAAACAAGAGTATAAACGCCAACCAGCATGGCTTTATGGAAGACAAATCCTGTCACAAACCTACTGGAGTTTTATGATAAAGTAACAGAAGTAAGACACGAGAGAAAGGGGTGGGTTGATTGCATCTTCTTGGACTGCAAGAAGGCCTTTGACACAGTTCCTCACAGGAGATTAGTGCAGAAGCTAAAGGATCAAGGGCGTATAACAGGAAGGGCACTGCAATGGATCAGAGAATATCTGACAGGAGGCAACAACAAGTCATGGTAAGTGATGAGGTATCACAGTGGGCACCTGTGACGAGCGGGGTCCCACAGGGGTCGGTCCTAGGACCAGTGCTATTTCTGGTACATGTGAATGACATGATGGAACGGTTAGACTCAGAAGTGTCCCTGTTCGCAGATGATGTGAAGTTAATGAGGAGAATTAAATCAGATGAGAATCAGGTAGGACTTCAAAGAGACTTGGGCAGGGTGGGCACCTGGTCCAGCAACTGGCTTCTCGAATTTAACCCCGCCAAATGCAAAGACATGAAGATCGGGGAAGGGCAAAGAAGACCGGAGACGGAGTATAGGCTAGGTTGCCAAAGACTGCAAACCTGGCTCAAGGAGAAAGATCTTGGGGTGAGTATAACATCGAGCAGGTCTCCGGAACCACACATCAACCAGATAACTACTGCAGCGTATGGGCGCCTGGCAAACCTAAGAATAGCGTTCCGATACCTAGTGAGGAATCGTTCAAGACACTGTACACCGTGTACGTCAGGCCCATGCTGGATTATTCAGCACCTATTTGAAACCCATACTTGATCAAGCACATTAAGAAATTAAAGAACGTGCAAAGGTTTGCAACAAGGTTAATTCCAGAGCTAAGGGGAATGTCCTATGAAGAAAGGTTAAGAAAAATTGGCCTGACGACACTGGAGGACAGGAGGGTTAGGGGAGACATGATAACGAGATACAAAATACTGCGTGGAATAGACAAGGTGGACAGAGACAATATGTTCCAGAGATGGGACACAGAAACAAGGGGTTACTCTTGGCAGTTGAAGACCATACATAGCTTTAAGATGAGGTATGATAAAGCTCATGGAGCAGGGAGAGAGAGGACCTAGTAGCACTCAGTGAAGAGGAGGGGACAGGAGCTGAATCCCAACCCCTGCAACCACAATTAGGTCAGTACATTTAGGTGAATCACGTGGCTACAAACACACACACACACACAACACACCACACACACACACACACACACACACACACACACACACACACACACCACAACATACACATACACACACACACACATGTCCTGGATAATGTGAGAAATCACTATATTTTTTACTGTGGTTGTTTTGCATATTGTGATATCACCTGTTTACTGTGATCTTTTTGCATATATATATATATATATATATATATATATATTTTATATATATATATATATATATATATATATATATATAATATATATATATATATATATATATATAACTCCTTCCGTCCCATTCTTTTCGTCCTCTCCTCTCTTCCTTTCCTTTCGTCTGGTTCCCATCACAGCCCACCCCACTTTCCGTCACCAACAGACCAGTACAAAAATATGCATATATCCCTTCCCCCTCTTCTCATCTGCCTCTTTTCCATTTTCTGCTTTGACTTGTAATTGCTGGTTTTATCTACTGGTTTATCCTCTGGTTTGTCCTATTCAGTGTTGTGTGCTGGGAGAACCACACACTCGTTTTCTTTAGAATTGTTTTATCATGAAATTGCCTCTGTGTGTGTGTGTGTGTGTGTGTGTGTGTGTGTGTGTGTGCGTGTGTGCTATTGATTTGCTGTTGTCAGTATTCAGTATTAACTTATTTGTTTTTTTATTAGTTATTACACTGTGTTCAATATCAAATCACTGTTGTTTCTTTGTGTTTTCTCTACATTATTGAAAGTTTTCACTTCTGTTAATACGCTACGGAATTTATCATTTTCTTTTCTCACACTTCACAGTCCGTTTTTTCAATTTTTTTTCATCGTTTTTTGTTCCTTGTATTTTTAATAAAAACGCGAAGAATAGATTTTCTTCAAATTATCAGTTGCTTAGAATAAGAAGGCATAATACCGTCACTGGAACAATACACAAATCGACGTACGACGTTTCGGTCCCACTTTGACAATTGACTAGATTGGTTAATGGTCCGAAGCGAAACGTCATTATCAGTTTTGTCTTCCATGTGCGGGGTGTGTATTTTCTGTTGTTTAATATTTCGTTTTCAAACTTTCTATTTTCTCTTCGTTTTGTGTCGAAATGTTTAGTTTTGTTTAGATTTATAGAGATATTTTTGGTATAGGACACTTTCCTTTTATTGCATCTACGTTCCTTTTCTTAGATTTCCAGTAGCTGTTATTCTAAATCGTTCTTTACTGTGTCATTATTGTATAAAAAAATAGCTAATTACTTTTCCATATATAACAGATTTGTATTTTATTTTAGCTTTATCAAATATAAGTAATGCTGCTAACTCTCTCTCTCTCTGTCCGTCTCTCTATCTTTCTCTGTCCGTCTCTCTCTCTCTCTCTCTCTCTCTCTCTCTCTCTCTCTCTCTCTCTCTCTATCTCTCCTCTCTCCTCTCTTTCTCTTTCATTCTTACTCTCACTCTCACTCTCACTCTCATTCTCTCTTTCTCAGTATCGTTCTATTAATCTCAGTACACTAAGACAATTAAAAAATAAACCGGGAAATGAACTGATAACTTTCCCTTCCCAGTCTTAACAAGTCTTTCTCTCCAGTAAACTGTTAGCTGTAATTGCTCACAACTGACCTGTCTATACTAATGGCGACGAGGTTGAAAATGGACGAGGTAGAGCAGACCACGTCCATGGTGATGTACAGGTCACAGATGATTGGTCCCAGACCCCAGTAGCCGCACATCAGCTGAGAGGGAGAGAGAGAGAGAGAAAGAGACTAAGTCAGAATGCGAGATGGACTATTCTTGATTTATATGTGTGTAAAGGCATGTTACAGATAACCATATTAACGGAGACGTGCAGAGGCTGGAACGATGTGCATCGAAGAAAACACTGGTTAATTAACATTCAAATACGTTGTTAAACACGAATATTCCATTTTCTATCAACAAACGAGGATGATAACCAAGGTAGAGATTTGACATAAGATTCCAAGCTTCCTTGCCACCTACTAGAACATTTTTTGAATGTTGTTCAGACTCGTAAACGCTTTAACAGTCTTGATGCCGACGTCTGGAACATTGTATAATGAATATTTTTTTATATACCGGTATACACCATGTGATACAGATATCTGAAATTGAGATGAATGAATCGCGTGCTGCAATGTGTACCCGAAGGGTGACCTTTAAATGGCTGACAAAATAATTTTTCCTACCTCCAGCTTGGCATATTCGGGTGCCCTCTCACCAGAGTTGCTGAACTCATTTCCAGCATCCTGGAATAGCGCCAGTAGCTTCCAAAATCATCAGCAGTGTAGCATCAAAAGCCGACAAAATAGGTGCCTCCTAATTCAACGATGGCGGAGAGTGAACTCCAAGTATGTAGGTGCGGATTGCCGTTTTATGGTAAAATAGTGTGAAATCTTAATTCCCGTTAAATCGTGTTAAATAAATGTGAGTTTACCTCTCATTAGCGGCCAGGAGAGTGCACATCAAGTCTTGCTTGTGTGCAGCCAAATTTGTCAATAAGGTAACATAGTTACAAAAAAAACTCGGAATCATTGGAAATCGTGTAATAGCTGGAGAATGAATCATCGGATCGCCTTCATATTTTGACTACTACTGTGGTTTCCGGGAGACATATTTTATGCTGTTATTCGAATAATGATATTTATTTTATTTCAGTAAGTAAAGAATTCTACTGATTGGCATTGAAGTGTCACTGGCGATGCATTCTCTAACAAGAATGATACCCCATAAGTTTAGTTTGAAATTTTTACTGAAGTGTCTTAAAAAAACTTGGAATCTTTGGCTTCAGATCAATTACTGGATAATGCTTTTTCTGATCGGCTTCAAACTTTCTTTGCGATTGTTTATTGGTTTCCGTGATATAAACGGTAGATAAAGCATGGTAGTAATATGAATGGGAGAAAAATGTAGGAAAAAATTATTTTTTTATCTAATTTGAACATTGATATATACTTCCATTTTTAAGTTAAAACTAAGACAGTCGCTCACTAGCATTGCTCAGTGATTGTTAATGCGTTCATACGCATACATATAATCACGTATATATTCGAACATACATACATAAGCAGACACCTGCAAATATACACTCAAGGATACATACTCATGTACAGATACTTACATACATATACACACGCATATATGTGCACATCAAGTAGACATATGTACAGGAGTTTAACTATATATACATATGCACTCATACAAACACCGGAATACTTAGGCACACACACACACACACACACACACACACACACACACACACAACACACACACACATATATATATATAGATAGATAGATATTAACAAATCGGCCGATTCCCACCAAGGCAGGGTGGCCCGAGAAAGAAAAACTTTCATCGACATTCACTCCATCACTGTTTTTCCAGAGAGACGCTTTACACTACAGTTATAAAACTGCAACATTAACACCCCTCCTTCAGAGTGCATTATTATTATTATTATTATTATAAAAAAGAAGCGCTAATCCACAAGGGCTATACTCCTTCAGAGTGCAGGCACTGTACTTCCCATCTCCAGGACTCAAGTCCGGCCTGCCGGTTTCCCTGAACCCCTTTATAAATGTTACTTTGCTCACACTCCAACAGCACGTCAAGTATTAAAAACAGTTTGTCTCCATTCACTCCTATCAAATACGCTCACGCACGCTTGCTGGAAGTCTAAGCCCCTCGCACACAAAACCTTCTTTACCCCCTCCCTCCAACCTTTTCTAGGCCGACCCCTACCCCGCACCGTTGTAAGAGTCCCGCATCGTTCCTTTTGCGAGTAATGAGGTAGAGCAGGCCGGGCTTAGGGAATATGGGCCTACAATTCTCGGATAACCGAACTAAAGAAATGCATCTATTTTTTGATTTTATAACTCTCACCTAGACGATCAGTAGAAAACCTGTCGTGGATCAGTATAAATTATCGTCTGAAGTCTTAATGACGTGAAGATGGGGGCAGAGCAAACTTTTATTTTGACTAATTTTTCGCTCAAGAAGTGCTTATATAAAGTTTCGATTGCACTCTGCCCTCCACCCCACTTGAAGTCTCTGTGATCACAATAAGCAATGCACTCGGAGAGTAAGTCCTACCATTTTCACGACGAATGGAGTCTAAATTGATTGACAAAATCTAAAAGTTAAATACTTTGACTGCAAGACGCTTGTAATAGTCTTGGTAATTCCCACCATATTGTTTAGCAGCTTTGCTACTATTCCTTCGTTTACTCTTAATTTTAAGAGTTCTGTTGATTTTTAAACTATTTCAATTTTTTTATGTAAAGGGAGCATCGTACTGAAATTTTTCTTAAACCTATAGACAAGTTTTTGACAGAAGTTATGATAATGTTAGTATAACTGAATCTAGGTTAGATATTAGAAATAATGTTGAGAATGAAGTAAATTTTTTTATTAAAATCAATATTAAAAATGATTTCTAAATTTATACATTACCTCCATATTCATTGAAATAATGGAAGACGTAAACAAAATAAATTAATGTTCAGAATAATTTAAAGGCTATCTACTCATTTATCTGAAATAATTATCAGTGTTTACCATCAAATAGCAGAAATGAGCATCGAGCAAGAAGTAATAATAATCGGTGATTTTAACTGGCCAATATCAATATCTGAAGGTTCTGGGCGATGTTTGTGTTTGAATTTGTTAGAGAGTCCATAGTGTCGGTTGGCGGAGATGTACATATGGGGAGTACATATTTTTTTTTGGCTCTAATAGTGAATTAAAATAGAGTAAATTCCTCGAGGGAGGTTCCTTTTATGCCAGAGAAGGGTTCTTGATCTAAGGAATTGGCCCTGACCTCCCCTTCTTGGGACTGAACTTACCTGCCCCTCTTTTCAATGAGGAGCTCCCCCTCCCCCTGCTGGTTTGGCACATTCTCCTACCCCCCTCATTAATACAACAGTAAAAAAAAGAATTTCGTAACACTCTGTCATTTGTTGAATTTTTTATTGCAAATACTCAGTGTCAAACAACGGTCAATACGAACGACCAAAGGAAAAATAGTAGTGACAAGTAACAGATTTTTAAATTAGCAAACTTTCCAAAAAGCTGCGATGAAATCTTTATCGAATACGACACAGACGAAGCGTCGACAAAGTTTATGCTACATAAAACCTGGGAAAGTTTTCACGTGTCATTATGATATAGAAGACCAATTGCATTTAGCAACTCCAAAGAATAGAATAAGGAATTTAAAAACAATTCCACAGTTACGTATCATACAAAAGTTCTCTCTAATTTTTTTTGTTTTCTTTTCTTTTGGCCAAAAAAAAGGAAGCCTAATTAAAGATGAAGATGTAGATTTGGGAGATATTATGTACTTGTCACTGAACCTGCATTGATAGCGGTAAACTTGAAGAGTCACGTTGATGCAATGAAACTAATTAAGTTTTCGATTTAGTAGCAACTGTTTTCTTGCTGGTTCACTTTGATTCCTAAAATTGGGATTAAAGTAAACTCTGTGTAAATACACTCAGAGATACACATCTATACAGTAAGTGTATATACAAACTGAGAGATTCCTCCCAGTGTATATATGTTTGCGCGATAAAGACCAAAATGATAAATAAAAGAATGATAGGCTAGAGTCTGTCACTCTACTTTATCTAAGATATTAAGTAATAATAATATCAATCATACTACTACTACTACTACTACTACTACTACTACTACTACTACTACTACTAATAATAATAATAATAATAATAATAATAATAATAATAATAATAATAAACTGACAGAGAAATTGATAACCGTAGCCAAGGTGCAAGAAGAGGGTGGACAGGTACGAATGAGGTAGTTACCTGAGGTGGGAGGAGAGAACTGATGATAAATCATTTGAAAAACCTAGCAGCGAAAGACTGATGGACTCTGAAGGTAGGAAAAGGATAATGGATTTATAGATGAATGGATGAACTGATACACTGGATGGATAGATCGACGAAATGATGCTTTGAAGTGATGGATGTGTTAATGTGATGGTTTTATGAATTAAAAGATGAGTGCACTTGCATAGACAGTGGACTGAATAGCTGCTGAATACGTGGATTGTAGAATAAATGAATGAATGATTGGGTTAATAGAAGGATTATTTATCAGACGAATGACAGTCAGTAAAAAAGAACTTAGAGATACATGTAATAAGACTTTCTTTATGTAAATAGACATCTTGGAAAACACAGACTTCGCAGACTGCCATCTTGACATTCTGCGAATACTTAAGCGAATTTTATGACAGAAAGAATACGTGGATGAGTTTCGTATTAACATGGTGCTACCAAAAAAAGATTTTTGATACATTGCCTTGGCAATAAAAAAACACTAGTGTGTGTGTGTGTGTGTGTGTGTTTGTATGTCTGTGTGGGAAAGGCTGTTGCTAGGGGTAACAGCGCAGCTGGCGAACACTTGGAGAGATGTCAGAAAATGGCGATGTGTAAGAGATCAGTCATTATGTTTCTAATGTTATTTGAACGAGAAGCCAGCAGATCAAATCCTTGACACAGAGATTAAGCTTATCTTTATGGATAAATGTACCGACTTATACACCACTCCAATAATATATATATATATATATATATATATATATATATATATATATATATATATATATATATATTAATATATATATATATATAAAATTAGCTTATCTATAAACAATCTGGAGAGTTACTGTTATTACTATTATTACTACTACA